AGAGTCCAAAAAATAAAAACAAATTAGGAGTTACCGTTTAGTATTTACAAAGTGGCAACCGAAATGACGATTTTTTTAACTGAATGTTGGCTTTTCTGTGTCATCCGCAAACAACATCCAAAACATTGGTACTTTCTTATCAGTTCTAAATCTTTAACGATAGCTCTTAATTTTTTCATCTTTTGGGTTTTGACAGATTAGACATTTAACTTTATGTTTGCCTCAAAAATTTAGTTTTAACTAACTATGTAATAAGAAAATTTTATATTTTAAAACTGTTAGTTTTTTGGTTTTGATCAGATAAAAGATTGATTATCTCAAGATCGACACGACAAATATTTTTTTGGATGCAGATTTAAATTTAGCATACCTGAAATAGCAAAACCCCATTAGTTTTGTTTTTGTTACCCAGACATAGTTGTCTTGTGTTATGTGTATTTTTAGATGAGTTTCTACTCAATTGTCGTTTCATTGTTCTGTAAAACTGCAAACTAACAAACATATACATTTACATTTTTAAATATTTTGGTTATTAACAAAAAACGAATAAAAGCAGAAATCATTAAAATGACGAGTAATAAAAATTAAAGTTAATAAAAAATATTTTTTAATTACCCATTTGCAATAAAAAAATTTTATCAGCATAGTTCTTAAAGTTTTGTGTTGTTGTTTTAATTTATGTGTATACAAAATAGTAACGGTTTAAGGTATTTGTACAACAAATGTATTAGTTTACTAAAAAATATTACTAAAATAAATTATAGTTATATTAATTTTTATACAAATTTTAACATATAATTTTTTAGTTTTGTTTTTTAAACATTAAAATTTAAAATGTTTTTTTATTTATTAAAAAATGCATAGATTTAAAAGAATTGTGTTGTGATAAAAACTTATCTCTGTCACCTGCATTCTAAGATAGATTTGTGTGCAATATTATGACTTTTTTGTGTGCAATATTATGGTTTTATCACCGGAAAGGCGTTTAAATGCATATATATAATAATTGAGTTAAACAACAATAGTATTAAGATTTAAACTTTGTATTTGTAAAACAGTAATCAGCTTATCTCTAAAAAATATTTTTTTTTGTTTAAAAATGTTATAAAACAAATTTTTTACAAAAAACTTTTGTTACTTAAAATTATAAAATCAAAAATTAATATTTGTTATGTTTTTATTTAGATTTTATACTAAAAAGTTTGTGTAAAATAAAACAATTTTAACAAAAATGGAATCAATTGAGATAACACCACTACAAAATGCACCACAAATAATAAAATTTTCTACATATTGGAGAGTGTCAGAGTTCGTTAAATTTCTTCCAAAAAAATACAATTATACTCCACCTTTATTTATTATTTCAGAAAATTTTTCTCCTTTTTCTCAAAAACTTTTTGACGCTTATATTGAATTAGATTTTGAAAATTTTTTAGAAGAGCAGTGGAAAAGCATTTCTGCATATGCAAACTTTAAATCTTATTTTAGTGAACCAATTCAAGTTTCATTTAAAATTTGCTTTTGGGATACAGCGACTAATGTGGCTAAAGGAAAAAGTATTTTATTCCCTTTTAAACAAAAAATTTAATTTTTTTTGTTTTAGAAAGAAAAAATGTTACACTGGAAAGATGCGGACGTTTTGGATTTAGAAACCTGTACAATGATGTTGAAGATAATGAAAATCAGCAAAGTCAGGACCCTCCTTTACAAAGGAACACAACTGACTTAAAACAAAACAAACAACACGGTGTTGTGCAAAGAAAAAACATAAAAAAGAATAGTTGTTGGTGGGCAACTGCATCATATGTTCATTCCTGGATGCCCAACAAAATAAAATCCAAGTTTCCTTGTTTAACAAACATACTTAATCTACAAAACGATCTACTTATAATTTGCAAAGTAAAATACTTAACTTTTATTTTAAAATTTTAATTTATTTTTTTAAAGGTTAAATTAAAAATTGATAATCCAAAAAATCAAAAAATATTTGTTAAACATGAAACTGTACCGTTTGAAAACGAATTTTATCTGAAAAACTATTTATGCCCCCAAATAAACCCTCCTTCTTTTAATGCTGTAACACGGCTAGAACCATTTGTTCATTTTTGGAAAATTGAAAACATTAACAAATTACTCGAAATGGATCAAGTGCCTAATCCATTTATTTTTTCTGACATTTTTAGCAGTGAGTTTCAAAATAAATTTTCTTTAACGTTTTGGCCAAATGGATACAATAAAAAAATAAAGAATCAATTATTTGTTTGTTTAATAATGTACATACTGATGCAAAAAATGTACAATGGCGAATCAAAATATTAAACGAACAAGGAGATCAATTTAAAGAACATCTTATTTTTGCTGTTAACAGTATTATTGAGTCTATAAACTTTTCTTCATTTGTTTTGAAGCATGATTTATTTGTTAATTTACCAAATGATAATTTAAGTATTAAAATTGAAGTAAGTTAAACTTACATAAATGTTAAAAATTAAAATAATATTTTTTATTAGGGCCATGCAATTGTCAATGAAAATCTTTTTTTTCAGCAAAACTATATTTGCAAAAAAACCGAAAGTTGTTTTGACATGTCTTCAATTACAACAAACAAATTAACACATGTGTGGTCAATAGAGCATTTTAGTCAAGTTTGTGGAGTAAAAAAACATGGAACACCACTTTTAGTGTCTTCAGTTTTTGTTTACAAAGAAATTAAATTTTATTTAGTGTTACTGCCTAACAAAAACAAACAAAATGGATTTAATGATCACATGTCACTTTTCTTGCGATGTGAAAATTTACCACAAAATGAGACTTTTATTCAAGCAAAAATTTTTTTAATTAACAGTAAAGGAGAAAAAACAAATAAAAAATGTATGTTGTTGTTTTTAAATTAAAATTTTACAATAATGTTTAAATCATTAATAGTAATATTTGGAAATCTTAAAAGTATTGTTTCTAATATTGATACGTTGAAATTTATTTCATTTAAAGATATAAAACAATCTAAAGAAAATTTTTTGCAAAACGATAAAATGACAATTTATTTTGAAGTATGTTTAAACGCTAAATAATATTAAAATATCTGACTGTGTATTTTTACAAATGTAGGGAGAAATTTTGAAAAAAGAAAATCTTTCAGAAATAGAACGTATTAACAATTTAGCTATTTTTTCTTGTAAAGAACATTTACCTGTTGAAAATTTTTTAAATACTTGTGAAACATGCAAAACAAAAGAACAACAAAATTTTCAATGTTCACATGTATCAAGTTATTTTAATGTAGTTCCAAATGTGATCTCATTTACTCATAAATGGACAATTGATAATTATCATGAAGTTTGTCAGGAAAAATTAAGTTTTTTAAATACAAACCAAAATAATGAAGTTTTAAAAAGAATTGAATCTGTATTTTTACCGGAAAAAGGAAAACATAAAAATCTTGAATTAGCTGTTGCTTTATATCCTTTTGGTTTTGAAAATGAAGACAATAATTCAATATCAATACTGTTAAATTTAAAATCATTCAATGAAGAAAAAGCATATATCCAGTATAGATTTTCAATTATAAATCAAAATAACAAAAAAATTTTGTCAAAAGGTTTGTAAAAGATTTCTAAACACAATATGACATTAACTTTTTTACAGAAAAAATAAATTTTTTTAATAAATCTGATAATGTTAATAATAAATCGACGTTTGGATTTAAAGAATTTATTTCAGTTTCAAAATTATTAAAACAAAAAAATAAGTTTTTGCCAGATGACAAATTAACAATATATTTAGAGGTTTGATTTTGTTATTTTATGTTTAAAACAATTTAAAATTTTTCATTTTTTGACAGGGCGAAGTTATTATGGAAGAAAATATTTCTGATGCTAATCTTTACAATTACAATCAACTTTTTATTGCTGCTAAATCTCCTGTAATTGACTGCATTGTGACAGATAAAAATACACAAATCTTTAATATTACTAAGCAAATAATTCATGAAAAAAGTAATTTAGAACTCGGCACTCCAAATTTTGAACAAGATCTATTAAAAAACTTGACTTTTAGAGACCTTAAAATATTTTTTACAACAAACAATGTAAACAATTCTCAACTAAACAATTCAGTTCTTAATGTTGATTCAGAAGTAAGTTCAAAAGAAATTAAATGTGTGAGTGAAGTTAAAAAAACCTTGAGCAGTGGCGAAACTAAAAATGAAGCAAATTTAGAAAACTAATCTATTTTTTTAGTTGATATTAAGCTACTATTTATAATAACTTATTATTAAAATTAAACTACCCCCAATTAAGTTTTTATTTTGTACAGTTTTTTACTTGTCTAATTTGAATGTTTAAAAAAATCACTAAATAAAAAAGCTTACTAGTGTTCCCAGGTGGTCACCCTCCCAAGTACTGACTCAGCTCGATGTTGCTTAACTTCGGTGATCAGACAAAAACCGGTGTGCTCAACATGATATGGCCGTAAGCTAAGAAAAAGAGGCTACTGCTTTACCTTAGTAAATCCTGGTCAGTCAGTTTGCACATTCTCTCTCCAGTGACGAGGGGCCTCTTCTCTAATGCAGTCATGATGTCTGGGGCGGCGCTGGTGAAGAGTGTCATCACGCCAGAGCAAATGCTGCCTAAACTGCTGAAGGGCATCAGTAAAGTGGGTTGTGCGGCGAAAAATGTGACCGGCATCACTGAAGAGGTAGTCACCTGTTTGCAGACGTTGGGTGCTGAGCAGGTGGACAGTGTAATGCATCTGATGGAGGGTGATACGCTCGGTGAGTAATCTAGTTAATCTAAGCAAAAAACCTTTTGAATTAAAAAACTTGTTATTGTTCAGACTAACACGGAATAGCCGTCGTCAACGGTGAATTTTGCTCGCTTCGCCCATCAGCATGNCTAGTTAATCTAAGCAAAAAACCTTTTGAATTAAAAAACTTGTTATTGTTCAGACTAACACGGAATAGCCGTCGTCAACGGTGAATTTTGCTCGCTTCGCCCATCAGCATGCTCACCTCTGGCAACTACAAGAAACACTTCAACGTGCTGGTGAGCACCGTTGAGTATAACTCGTTTTTTCTGCAGTCAAGCAAGCAGTACGCCGCTTTCCTGCAGAATAATTCTAAACCACTGACACTGGAAAGGGCAAAGGCACACCTGTTGAACATTCTGCAAAAACAGGCGCAGCCATTAGAGAAAAGCGATGAAACTAAACAGTTGCCCACTGACACCGCCACTCGACTGTACTTCAACGGCATCAACGGTCATTTTGACAATTCGGACCTTTATCAAAAGCAGTTAGGCATTGCTTATGGCGATGCATATTTAAGTTGCCCAACTTTGGAGTTTGCCAAAACCCTCTTCCGCTCCAGTCCTGACACCATCAAGGTCTATCAGTGGTTCTACACGGCCAAACTGGGCAATGACAAGCAGTTGTGCGGACGGTGGCAGGGCACCTGTCACGTTGATGACGTGTACCCGGTTTTTGGAGTGCCATTTCGACACCGAAAGATGCACCACAATCGGGAACGAGAGATTAGCAGTGAGGTGATCAGGTTCATTAGGGCATTTGTATTGACAGGCAATCCTGGGGAGGATCAGTCAGAGTGGCAGAGCTATTTTATGGCTGATTATGGTCGACAGTTGGTTGCGCCCTACTACGAGATCGGAAATGATCATAAGCGACACACAAGTTTTAAGTTTAACCTTAAGCAGCTCGAGTGTGGTCTCATTTGGAATAAGTTTGTTTATCCCTCTTTTTTGCCTGTTGTAAATCAAACTGACTGACTAACCATTAAACTTAAAACTGTTATAAAAAAGTGTTGCTTTTTGTACTTAGCAAGAAACCAATATAATATATTTTTTGTATTTTTAATGATAAAAAAGAAAAGTGTGTGATTTTTTTAGTTTAACATAATCTTGCCTTATAGATTTGAAATCACAAACGCTTTATCCAAAAACACGTCAAACAAAACACACAATGCCTTACTTTTTATTAATAATACACAGAGAGAAGTGGGTCTCAGATATATCTGAGAATTCGTTCCTTTCTTGAACCAGTCTAAAAATTTTTCTTAGACTAGTATGAGAAAAACAGCTATATT